TTCAGGGCATATTACAGACAAATGACATTGTTTATGAAATAGAGCCCAAGAGACTTTCTACCACATTTGAACATCTCTTATATAGGAGAAAGAGTGAAGAGACACAATTGCCACCCATGAGATGTGGATTAACAGATGAAGAAATAGCAAGACAACTGAACTTTCCAGAGAGTGCTAATTTCACTTTGATGCAGAGTGGGTATGAAGGTTGGTGGACCCACAGGCGGCTTCTTGAACTGGCAGTGGTGGTGGAGCACAATCGCTATCTTCATCACCGAAGTAACACCACAGCTGTGCAGTATGAAGTATTACTTGTAGTCAATGCAGTAGATAAGTTTTTGCGTTCGCTGGATGTTGATGTGGTTTTAATGGGAGTTGAAGTCTGGACTGAAAAAAACCCAGTTCCAATAGATACCATAGAGGGTCTCCTGAAGGAATTTTGCAAATGGAAGAAAACTAGCTTGAATAACCGCATTCCCAATGATGTTGCCCATCTTTTTGTAAAACATAGCTACGGTACTACTGCTGGATTAGCCTATATAAAAACCGTATGTAAAAGCTATGCTAGTTGTGGAGTTGATAGTTTCATGAATGATAACGTGTATGATTTTGCACACATTATGTCACATGAGATTGGTCATAATTTGGGTATGGATCATGATGGACCAACTTGTACATGTGGACATAAAACCTGCATAATGCATGAAGGTAATGAAAGTGCAACTAGATTCAGCAACTGCAGCTATGCTGACTTCATGAACATGATGGGCAGTATAGCAAGGAAAAATTGTTTGTACATTTCATCAAATACAGGAAACATCTTCACACTTGCACGGTGTGGGAACAGTGTGGTTGAAGAAGGAGAAGAGTGTGACTGTGGCGCTTTACATTTGTGTATGGAAGATCCGTGCTGTGAGTCAGACTGCACTCTCAGCGCTGGGGCTGCTTGTCCAAGAGTGCAAATCAGAGTTGTTACACAGAAATTAACACTCAAGGTGACCGTTTCGGGAACTGTGGTTTCAAGCACTCTACATATGTAAAATGTGACATCTCAGATACCTTGTGCGGGAGGATTCAGTGTGACAATGTGACAGAACTTCCCCTTCTGAGAAATCATTCTACTGTGCATTGGACTCAGTTCAATGGCGCCACCTGCTGGGGTACCGACTACCACTTCGGGATGACTGATCCTGATATTGGTGATGTGAAAGATGGGACAGAGTGTGGGGCAGAACATGTCTGCATCACAAGGAAGTGTGTCCATAGGTCACTTCTGGTAAATTATTGCTCACCTGAGATGTGTAATCTGAAAGGAGTCTGCAACAACAAACAGCACTGCCATTGCAACTATGAGTCGGATCCTCCCAACTGCATAAAAGAAGGCAGTGGAGGTAGTATAGATAGTGGGCCACCCCCTCGGAAAAAAATTAGGAAAAAAACCCATTACCTGCAACTACTTTGGTTGATTCCTTTTATCCTTTTATTATGCTTGTTAGTTTTGTGTTTTCTGACACGAAGAAGAACAGATAAGAGTGAAGAGCAGAATGTGTCACCTTCAGCTGAGTAAGAAGAACAAAATGTCAAGATTTTACTTAAAGAAAAAGAGCAAAATGTTGCAATTCCATCTTAGAAAGAACAACGAAATGTTCTACTGCATTTTAGAAAGAAAAGCAAAAATTTACAATTTCAAAAAAGAAACCAAATCATATCCAATTTCCCATGTACTAAGTTTTATTCTCCTGGCTGTAGTAATGTTACAGAATGTGCCACAGACCATTGACCTAATTGCTGCAAATTTTTATTATTTCAGATCATAAAACACTGGCCATAAAACAATTATTAAAGTATCCTAATTCCTAGAATATTGATGTTTTACATTATTTTAAATAGTGTTAGTGTTCAATTGTTCATGGAACTAGTCTCTTTGTGTTTCCTGAGCAAAGGTACAGCCAATGGATAATGTGTATTTGTGTGTTTTTTATTGTCTCAATCCTTACAATCCTTGCCTCTCATACTCTTTGTCACACAGAAAATGCAAACATACAAATTAAATGTCTTCCTTGCCAGTCCTCTCATGATTAGTTTCGGCAATAGTTGGCAACTGGAGGGAGCCTGGAAACCTGGGAAAATGTTTGATAACTACTCATGTCAGTCTTGCCTCATTAGCTGCTCTAACCTTCACAAGGATAGTAACTTTCAGTCTGCACATTATTACTACATATAATACAGGAGTGGACAAAAGTAGGATTACAGTTTTCAGTCCGCAGAAGTTTATTTATTATCATTTATTAATTACTGGAGACCTAGTGCATGAATTTGTGCACAGGTAGGGACAGGCTGGCCATCATGGCCAATCAGGGCCATCTTGCCCAGCCTCTACGGGGGCGATCAGAGTGGCTGGTATGGGGAGGGGGGACTGTATGAGGCTGGTGGCTGGTGGAGGGGAAGGGGATGATTGGGGCCTGTGGCCAGGGGCGAGGGACCAAGAGAGATTGACTGTGGGAGCATGCTGACCACACTGCTCCCCTGCTAGCCTAATTGCCCCCAACTGCCCTCCCCTCTGGCCTGATCACCCCTAAGGCTTTTATTAGTATAGACTAGAGGCCCATTGTAGGAAGATTCCTGCAAGAATAGGGCTTACTCAGGCCTATTCCTGCAAGAATAGGGCTTCCTGAGACTGGAGCAAAGCTTGCCTCACTCCCTCACTTCGCCACTTTGCCCTCAGCTCCCTCCATTCTCCGCTGCTTCGCTCCCTCCCTTCTCCACTGCCTCGCTCCCTTCCTTCTCTGCTGCCTCGGCTCCCTCCCTCTCTGCTGCCTTGGCTCCCTCCCTTACCCACAACCTCAGCTCCCTCCCTTCTCCGCTGCCTCGGCTTCCTCTCTTACCTGCCACCTTGACTCCCTCCCTTCTCCTCAGCCTCAGCTCTCTCCCAAGTCCTCTGCTTTGCCTCCCTCCCGTGTCCAGCACCTCGGCTCCCTCCCTTCCGTGCCACCTCGACTCCCTCCCGTATCCTCTGGTCACCTCCCTCCCATGTCCGCTGCCTTGCTCCCTCCCTTCTCTGCCACTTTGCTCCCTCCTGTGTCCATTGCCTCAGCTCCGCTCCAGTCTCTGCTACCTCCAATCCATTACCTTCTCCGCCACTTGGTTCCCGTGTACAGTGCTTGGCTTCCTTCTACATTGTCTTCAGTCTTCACTGGGTGCCTGTGTATGCAAATTAACCGCCATCTTTGTTGGGTTAATTTGCATGCTTTTCTGATTGGCTGGTGGGAGTAGCAAAGGTACGGTCAATTAGCATCTTCATCTTTTATTAGTGTAGATATGACCCTTCACAGAAAATTTCAATAATCATGCTTTACAATAAGGGCTTGATGATTGAATCATTGGGGCCAGACACTAAGATTTCCTTTCTTTGAATAGCAGAGGGAATAATTATCTTGTCTTTAAGTTGCCCTGAACATCAAATGAGATCATGACTTAGAAAAGTATAAAAGCACCATATAAAGATAACTGTCTATTTCATGTACTGAAAAGACAATAAAGTGGTAAAATGAAAAACACTATTTTTATTCTCCCCCTTCCTTCCTTTACAGCCTTATTTAAATTTTGAGATTTATAAAGATTTTACTCCTATTTCATTTCTTTACATTCAATATTATTTTGTATTAGTTTCAGAGTTTATATTAGTTACAGAATAGTGGTTAGGCAATCACATACTTTACAAAGTGTTCCTTGATATTTCCAGTACCCACCTGGCATCATACTTTCATTACAATACTATTGACTATTGACTATATTCCCTAGTTACGTGACAGTAGTTTAGAGGTTCCTTCCAATCTTTTCTGTTGCTTGTCCTTCCTTTTCTTTCTCACTTCTTCCTCATTTTCTTTATATAGTATCTCGATTGGCCCTCCAAGCTCAGCCAAGGCACTGGGACACGCTTAATCCATTTTACAGACCAGGAAACTGAGGCCAATTCCATTTGGCTGCGGAACTGGACTCAGTGTGCAGGGAGCCCTCACAGCTGTGCTCTCTGCCCTTCCTAAGGGGCAGCCACGGGGCAAACAGAATAAACTTCCCATCAGGCCTCTGGGCCTCTTTCTCAAGCACCTCTTCATCGCCCCCCTCCGCATTCTTTCTTCTGCCCCACCATTCTTTACTGCCCCCCTCCCTCCTTCTCCAGAGCAGGCAGTAGGAGTTGCCACCTCTGAAGTGCAAAGGCGGCCCAGGCCAGGTGCAGTTAGCGCTGGGAGCTTCTCTGAATCATGTCAGTCAGTCGGGCACCCAGCAATAGGCACCTCTCCACTGAGGTGGCATCGCCTCTCAACCCCCTCCTCAAGGCTGCCATCTGCGCCCCTCCACCCTACCTTCCTGCCATGACCTTTGTTCCCCTCCAGGCCAACCTCCATCCTGGGGCCATTGCAGAACCTCCCTCTCTGCTCTCCACAGGAGATGCAGATCCCTGCCCGCCGGCCAGAGCCCCATCCAGTACACCAGCCTCTCCAGGTTTTTGCCTTTGATCTCTGCATTGGTGACAGCACACTCCTAGCAAGCCTGGTACCCAGAGGGGCACTGGGGCAGTTCTTTGCCCAGAACATTAGACATTACAGTCGCATTTGCAGAGGATGCCCAGAGCCTGCTGGGGAAGGCAGCACCTGTGTGGGGTGTCATCATAGAGGGAAAGTGCAGAGCCGCTGTGCACCTCTTGGGCCACCCGCCTCCTGCCTGGCCGCTTCACCAAAGCTGAAACGCTCACCCAGGAGCCGCCCTCAGGCAGCCCCGCAGTTGGGCCTCGCGACTCTGCTAGGTCTCCAGCCTCACCTGGGTCACCTCCTTTCCTCCACATTTGGCCTTTATCCATCCCTCTCTCCTGCAGTGCTTGCGCTCCAGGCCCCAAAGAAAAGGACCAAGGCCAAGAAGGACAAAGCCCAAAGGAAGTGAGTCTTGAACCCCCACATCCCATTCTCTGGATTTCCTCCCGCACCTCCTCTGTGTCACAGCTTGAACGGGCACCCTGCGGCCCAGCCACATAGCCTCTGGGCGGCCAGGTAGAGTCCGTCTCTGTGAAGCTGTGGATCTGTGGCCAGAGGCCCGGCCTGGTCTCAGCAACCCCATGCCTGCTGCAGAGTCCTGTTGGAGGAGGACCGGAGCCCGTCAGTCATTAGCTCCCCAACTCCAGAGGAGGCACCACAGGCTCATGTCCCAGCCTCAGGCCCAGCTCTCCCCGCCCAACTCACCCCCGCTCCCCCCAGCTGTGGTGACCTTACAGACTAGTGGCCTAATTTGCATATCCCTCTCTTGTTATATAGGATTGATATTCAGAGTGGCTTTCCATACAGCTAGTATTTTCTCAGAAGATGTGCTTAATCCCCTGGAGCCAGTGAGACTTCAGTCTTTTGTTGATAAATAATGATTCTGGCTTGGGACTATTTCAAGTCAGCCAAATAAGACACTTTCATTGTTATTGAGTGGGTGTACCCTAGCACATGTGAACTGACTTCTAACACACAATGATGATTAAGACCCAGGAGGAATCTTCTTGGTTCTTTCTTTCCCTGGTCTCTCGTTAAATTTCTAGTGGTCTTCCATTCACCTTGTTGCTATTAGGTTCAGGAGTTGACAGCCAACTCTTAAATGTTGAAAACTCTCCACTATTTTCAACAATACCTTGTTTGACTTCTCCATCCTGTGTAACAATATGGTCAGTCTGCTCAGACAGAGTTCTTTCTCTGATGGGAATCTCTCCAAACAAAATATCTGTACCACTGCATAAGAGCTGTAGGGGGGTAGACAGTATATCTTTTTATCACAGCAGCATGCCCACTCTACAGGTTGATGTAAGAGAAAGTTGATAGATCATGGTCCTCTTAGCTTGCCCTTCCTGGCACAGAAAAATTGCTCAACAAGCAGGGTGGTTTAAGCAAAACTAGGGACTCAATAGACCCATTGTACCTGAGGCATAACTCTCACCTTTTGAGTGACAGCTGCTCCTATGTAGTGTATAATTCCCAAAACAGGATCTAGGGAAGCAATATATAAGTTTGAGGTTGAACACTTGTTGGATGAACCAGGGTGCTAGGCTGGAAACTTACATGAATCCCCTTTTCTAGAACATATCAATCCAGAACACAGAAAGCAACACTGACCTAGGAAATGAGATTAAGTCATAAATCGAGTGCTGCACTTTCTACTTTTACCAATTTTAGAAGATATAATTGGACAACTGTTTCTCTTATATAGCCTTAGATTAATTTCCAAAGATATTAATTTTTAAATTTTTTACCAATAAATTGGTTGTTTCTAAGGAGAGAGTCTGCTAGCTCCACACACAATCAATCTAGAACTCACCTGACAGTGAAGAAGAATGTTGGTCACCTAATATCCACATGAAAATGAGGTATCTTTAACTCTACCTCACACTATACATGAAGGCCAACTCCAGATTGATTTTAGTTTTCAGTGTCACAGATATATCAAAAAACTATCAAATGAAAACATAAAAAAGTTAATTAATGACCATGGTATAGGCAAGTTTGCTTGACTGAAAACAAAATCTGAATGCGAAAACAT